AGAACATCACGCCTTTTTCTCAATTACATGAATATGATAAAAATTGCCAGGAATTTGGTGGCTGCAGATCGTTCTGGCAATTGGAACTTGTTGCTAAAATCCATCAAAGACAGTCTACCTATTCTAGCCTCAAGCGGTAATTTCCATTATCTAAGGTCATCCCACCTCTTCCTTGAAGAGATGCTGAAACTTCCAGATGAGCACCCAGAACTTTACCAAAGATTACAAAATAGTTTCCATGTAATAAGACGCATTAATAATTTTTGGGCAGGACTTAGTCCCGATCTTACCATAGAGCAAACATAATGAGATCTCTCAAAACATCAGGTGGGCTGACAAGAGGCAGTCGGATGACAGAAGCACAGCGGAATTTGTGGACATAATCAATGCCACATCGAGCAGCAATCAACCTTGCCTGTCTCTTATACACATCTAGATGTGATTATTGCTGGTGTATTTATAGTTTGCAAGGACGATGAATACCGATGTAGCAACGGAAAATGCATACCAAACGATTTCTTGTGTGATGGTTACAGTAATGATTGCATTAACAATGAAGATGAAAAACTCGATATATGTGATGGTTTGTATTGCAAAGTTCTAACAGCAGTGATATTATCTATCTATAATTATTGCTGTGTTTGGATATCATAATTTTTAAAAAGCATTTCAATTTAAAATAATGTTTTATATAAAGATATTTACATTTCATTACATCCTGTAATTTTACATTCTTATTATTTTGACACAATTTGAAAGACTTTTTAAATTGTTCAAGAAATAATATTAATTATCATTTGATTTATCTACAATAGCTGTATGCGGAATTCCGGATTCTGAGAACAGTTACTTTCACCCGTTTAAACCTAGATATAAACCAGGAGAAAACGTAACATACACATGTTTCCTGGGCTACACACTATTCGGCGACGCGACGAATACATGTAATGAGTCAAAATGGATAAATGATCCACCAAAATGCTATAGTAAGTTTAGTCTCATTTATTCATCTCAATGTTATAAAACCATCTTACAAGAAAGTTGATATTATCCTAGATTGTCCTGTTGAATTAGCAATTTATTATTTTAATTTTTGGAGAATAATTTGGTATTTTACCACTAGTACAGGCTAAATGTGACAAAAATCCTATTTAACCTTAAACAAACTCTAATAAAAGGACTGTTTACATATTCTTGTAGGCCTATATTTGAAAAGTCATAAAAAATTTTTTGCCACTTTTTTATAGTAGCGTTTATAATATATTCAGGGTCAAAGGTCAATTACCTATATGCAGCATGTTATATGTCGTAACTCTTCAACTACTTGCTCTAAAAGTACAAAAGTAGTGTCTACACCAAGGTATTTTGGGTCAACAATTATGGGAAACTTTTTACGCCTTTTAGTAGCTGCGCTGACCAAATATTCAGGGTCAAAGGTCAGAATAGCCTTTAAATAGCATGTTCCGGTTCATAAATCCTCAACTACTGGATATCAATGCATGAAAATTGTGTCTACACTTAGAATTTGTGGGGTCAACATTTATTGAAACATTTATACGGCCTTCTAGTAGTAGCTGCGTTGACTAAATATTTAGGGTCAAAGGTTATTGACCTTTATACAACTATGATGGTCATAACTCCTCAACCAGTTTGCCTACATGTACATGGACAAAAATAGTGGCAACATCTAGGTTTTTGGGATAATTTTTTTAAAGCATTTTTGCCACCTTCTGCTGCATTGACTAAATATTCAAGGTCAAAGGTCATTGACTCTTTAACCACTTGTTCCAGAAGCACAAAAAATATTGTCTACACAAAACATAAAAATGAGGTGTACTGTATGTTTTGGGTGTCAACAGACAATTATATTCTTCAGGCTTACAAATGTATTCTTCACTGATTTTTAGAGCAAAACAACAGCCTCTCAAAACCAGTGTTCTTAAAGTAAATCAGTCCATTAATTAATGACAACTTGTAAGCACCACAGAAATGATGAGAATCCAAGATAAATCTGATACAATTATGGACCAATCAGACAGCAGCTTGGAAATTATTAGACTGGGCAGCCAAGCATGACATGCTCTAAAATTTTTTCTACAAACTTTTCTTTCTATATGGTGGAGTCAGTAGCTTAAAAGTGACAGCCTGTTGTTAAATTGAGGGAATGTTGAGAAAAAATATAAAGCATTTGCAGTATTAGGTAAGTTTCCCATAATATATGTATTAAATAAATGTAGTAGCCTAGGCCTAGCTAACCTAGTACAATGTCGACCATAACACCAACACACTGGATGGGAAGGGAAGCTTTCACGGTCTTGGAATAATTGCGGCAACTACACCAGCCAAGAAGATGACAACCAGGCTGTATAAACCAGTAAAAGACAACCCTCACAGTCCAACCCCAAAGATACCGATTCTCCAATATAGCTATGGGAAGAGACATCTGGAGAAGAAATTCAAGGAGCTACCAGAGCTACAAGCAGTTGAATTGAAATGTGATCTTTTATGGGAGTTCAGTTTTATAAGTTTAATCGACCAATGCCCATGTGGCAAGGAATCATGGCAACAGTGCACAACCAGGAAAAGTTTCCGGGGGTTTCTAAAATTCACTTCCTGCCTATGATTGACTTGTATTCTGGTGACAGATCGTGTTTACTTTCAGCAATACATTATGTATCAACCATTGCGAGAAAATATGGCCAGGATACAGTGGTAACATTTGACCAGCCACTCTACTGGAAAGCGGTAGAAATTATTTTGAACTCTTCAGAACCGAAATGTAGTTGTCATAATGGGTGAATTTCACTACCTCATGGACCTCCTTGGAGCAATAGGAAAGCTGATGGAAGGCAGTGGCTTGAAAGAGATACTCGCCACCATATATGGTGAGAATGTGGTACAGCATATGCTTACTGGTAAAGCAGTTAACAAAGCATTCAGAGGTATTCTGCTGATGGAAAAGTGCTCGAATCTTTTGTTAATAAATATGCTAGAAGAGGGCAACCATGTCACAGAACTTGAAAACATCTACTCTAAGATTGAAAGAAATGAAGCAACCATCAAGGACATCCCAGAGAGATGTAACGTCAAAGGATCGTTGAATGACTTGAAAGCATCATTAGGATCTGAATCAAAAACATCACGCCTTTTTCTCAATTAAATGAATATGATAAAAATTGCCAGGAATTTGGTGGCTGCAGATCGTCCTGGTAATTGGAACTTGTTGCTAAAATCCATCAAAGACAGTCTACCTATTCTAGCCTCAAGCGGTAATTTCCATTATCTAAGGTCATCCCACCTCTTCCTTGAAGAGATGCTGAAACTTCCAGATGAGCACCCAGAACTTTACCAAAGATTACAAAATAGTTTCCATGTAATAAGACGCATTAATAATTTTTGGGCAGGACTTAGTCCCGATCTTACCATAGAGCAAACATAATGAGATCTCTCAAAACATCAGGTGGGCTGACAAGAGGCAGTCGGATGACAGAAGCACAGCGGAATTTGTGGACATAATCAATGCCACATCGAGCAGCAATCAACCTTGCTATGCAGGAGGGCACAGGTGTGGATCTGGTGACAAGCGTGCAACATGAAACATTGGGAAGAGCACGATTGCAAAGAGATTGCAATGATGTTTCTCGACTGCTTGATGTTTTAAGAGAATACTCCCCATTTTCTGCAGATCCATTACTCAGAAATGTTGTTACTGGTGAGGTTGCAAGTCAGGAAGTCAATGTGGACTCATACCAGTCTGTTGGAAAAGATATTAAAGCTATGCATAAGAGAACCGCATTTTCGCATAAGTTTAAGCGAAGCCAGAAAGCAGTGACAATGGGAACTACAAACGAAATAAAAGTATACAATGACATAGGTATTGACCCCACTGTGCTCGTTCAGCGGTTCCTTATCATACAGCAGACTGTTGATATTGATACATCTGATGTGTTCAAGTACTGGCTCCATATCACCAGCCCTCTTTGTAAGAAACCATGTAATGCTGACAGCTAATAAGCCAAAGTTGAAGGAAGCACCGATAGCAAAAGCAATGTCAACGTTAAAGGCATATTCCTCAAAGACATCGAATAAAGAGCAGTTAGAAGACCTAGTATATAAAAATGAGCAAGGGGATTTGATAAAAGAATCAGACATGAATGAAGCAAAATTCATATTTGAAAATAACATACCAAAGACTGACAGATTTGTAATTGATGGTGGACCTTTTACACAAGTTGTTATGGCCCAAAGGAGTACCTTTTCAGAAGATAGTACAAAGTTACACAGAATACACTATCCACAAATATGGCAGAGCTGATGTTGTCTTTGATGGGTATGAGCAATCCGTTTCAACCAAATGTAACACCCATGAGAAAAGAAGAAAAGGTGATAACCAAGTAAATTTTAGCCTTAATACTGAATGCAAGTATGAAAGGGAAGTCTTCTTAAGTAATACTGCAAATAAGAAACGACTCATATCATACCTATCAGATGAATTCCAAATCCAGATGTGTAACGTTATACAATGCATAGGAGATGCTGATGTAAATATAGTTGATAAAACCCGGGCCATTGCTGAGACTGCTTCTATAATTTTAGTAGGAGAAGACACTGACTTGCTTGTACTCCTGCTCTTTCATCTGAAAGATTGGCACAAGCCTGTTTTCTTGAGTAGTGATAAAAAGGGGGTAAGCAAGGCAATATGCATCACAACTCTAAAAGAAGCATTGGCTGATGAAATCTGTCAAGCATTGCCCTTTCTCCATGCATTTACTGGATGTGATACGGTTTCAAGAATATCAAATGTTGGCAAGAAAGCAATCATACAGAAGTTTAAGAAGTCTGATGTACTCAAAGAATGTGCTAAATTATTTATGAAATCAGACCAAAATCAAGCCATAGTAGAAGAATATGGGCGAATGGTAATGAAGGAACTTCTTGGTGGAAAACAAGGTACTCTTTCTGAACTTAGAGATCAACTATTCAAACGAAAAGTTTCTACTTCCACAAAGGTTATAAAACCATCACAGTTGCCACCAACGAAGTCAGCGACACATTTCCACAGCCTCAGAGCTTACCATCAGATCAACATGTGGGCATACGGTGAATACCTTAACCCATGTGAATGGGAATGGGAAAATGAAAACAACGGTCTGCATCCCATAATGACAAGAGATAAGCATGCACCGGCAGAGCTACTCAAAATTATAAGATGTAATTGCAAGACAGATTGTAGCAACCGCAGATGTTCGTGCAAGAAAGCTAATCTGCCATGCATAGCTGCTTGTGGCCCTTGCCAGGTTGATGGCTGTGACAATGTTGATGAAGTAGTTTATTCTGATGATATTGATGGTGATGTTGATTTTTTTCATATAGTCTGCATCCATACTGTTATGAAAGGAAAATTTTGCATTTGGACACAATTAGACCTACATGAAATAGACTGTGAATACTGAGCGAAATTATAAACGAAACAGCTAAGTGAACTGACAAAAAATTCAAGTGGAAACATGTATCACATGTTACCTATTGTTAAATTACCATTTTCAGATTGTGTATCCCATAAAGCAATGTAAGATGCATTTGACTTTTTCGTTTATGAGTGGATTGTGGAGACACTATTTTTTGTGCTTTTAGACCAAGTGGTTGAGAAGTTATGATCATCCGTTACCTGTTACTTGTTATTTGTATAGCGCCTTTCTTTTCAGTTACAAAGCACTGAAGTTCTTTTTCCCTTGTCATTGGGTCTACATGCTAAGTTTTGCTGCTGGTAATCAGCGCATAAGCAAGTAACCCCACCAGGTCCCCATTTATACTCCTGGGTGAAGAAAAGCAATGGAGAGAAAGTGTCTTGCTCAAGGACACAAGCGAAATACACAGCGAGGGATTGAAACCCCGACATCTAGGTTGGGAAACCAAACCGATCCCACAGCGCCAAACCGCTTCCACAATCATCATGTTATATAACGGTAATTGACCTTTGACCCTGAATATTTGATCAACGCAGCTACTAGAAAGTGAAAAAATGTTTTTATATAAATTGATCTCAAACACCTAGATGTAGCCACTATTTTTGTACATCTAGGCAAACTGGTTTAGGAGTTTTTACCATCACAGTTCTATAAAGGTCACTGACCTTTGACCCTGAATATTTGGTCAACGCAGATACTATAAGGTGGCAAAAATGCTTTTAATAAATATTGATCCTCAAAACCTAGTTGTAACCACTATTTATGTGCATCTAGGCAAACTGTTTGAGGATTTATGACAATCATAGTTGTATAAAGGTCATTGACCTTTGACCCTATATAGTTGGTCAATGCTGCTACTACCAGAAGGCGGAAAAAAATTGTTGACCCCAAAAACCCTGGTGTAAATACTATTTTTGTGCTTTTAGAGCAAGTGTTTGAAGAGTTATGACCTAGAATATGTTATATAAAGGTCATTGACCCTTGACCCTGAATATCTGGTCAACGCTACTATAAAAATGCGGCAAAAATTTTTTCATGATTATTTACATATAGGCGTACAAGAATATGCAAAAAGTCCTTTTATTAGAGTTTGTTTAAGGTCAAACCACATTTAGCCTCTACTACACGGGGAATATATCACATTATACACGGATATGAATAACTGTTGTATTTTGGAACATTATCATACCATAGTATTAAAATTATACTTATTATTACAAATACACTTTAAGCCTGAACAGGAAAATCCAAGGCCACTGGTTTACAAACCTAGGGTCAGGACGATTTGTGAGGTAGTCAGCTCTACCAATGGGTCACGTCTCTGACAGTTGGGAGTGAATGTTGGCTTATACAGAAACTAGTAGGCCGCGGTAGTTAAACATATGTTTTAGGAATAGGCCTAGTGACGTTTGTGAGTAAATGTGTAATTTGGAAATGAGATGCCATGCAATTGGAATTGCAATAATAATAGGGGCTTAAT